ACACTGCTACAGATAAGACCCCACAACACAGGGAATCCAGGACAGATAAAACCCTCAGGACCAATAATGAGAATAGCGATACCAGGAGGGCAAGGTGAAGGTGGGGGGAGAAAGGGGAAATAGACCACAATGATCAACATATAACACCGCCTAGAGGGTTAACAATATAAAAGTGATGATGGGAAATATGAAAATAATAATAATTTATCAAGGATTCATGAGGGAGGGATGGTGTGGAGGAAGGGAAGAAATGAGGAGCTGATATCAAGGGCTCAAGTAGAAAGAAAAGGCTTTGAAAATGATGATGGCAACAAATGTACAAATGTGCTTGACAAAATGGATGGATGTATGGATTTTGATAAGAGCTGTAGGAGCTCCCAAGAAAATGATTATACATAAATAAATAAAGTAACCTCCTGAATGGGAAAAAAAAGCAAAAAAGAATATTAACACATATTTTTGAGGGATCTGATTCCATCCATAACAGGTGCCAAGTGATATGAATTGCTGCTGCAAAGCATCAATTAGGGAATCATCAATTTTAGAGAATTAACCCTTTCCGGTCTGCTCACAGACATCACTCACACTCGGCCCAAACATCGCTAACTACCTTTCCAGGCTTCAGTTCCAGTCAGGTTACTTCAACTTGCCTCTACCTCACCACAATGGATTCAGCAACCAGTTGTAGCCAGAGGAGTAGTAGTAGTGGAAGAAGAAGGAATAATCTCTAGTTTATGACCTCTGTCAATCCATAGAGTATTATTCTTTGAAAAATTTAATTTGCCTATAAAATCCTTTTTCTTTTTAAAGGAATATCACCAACTAAAGGCCATTGCTTTTCTACAAAATATCCAAACTCCCCTATTGTTGCTCCTTTTTTCCTCACTTATATGAATGATTTTTTTCTTGATCCATTTCCCCTAGTCAAATTACATCCATATTTCAAGAATTACTCAAATCCAACTCCATCTAGCACATCTTCCTGGAGTTTTCCTAATGAATTAGATACTTCCTCTTGAAATATCCTTGTCAAGTAAATGACACTGTTACCAACGCCATTAAATGGAGGATAATTATCTCCTTCACAGTGTCCAGGTGTCATTGTCATCAAGGAAGTTATGTCTCCTACACAGACACTGAACGGAAGAATGCTTTACTTACAGAGAGAAAAGACAAAACAACCTCAATTAAAATAGTGGGCGTTGGCTCCCCATGCACAGAAGATTTGCTCCACAGAGGGCACAAGGAGCAAGTCTGCACCCCCCTCCTTTACACTGTAGGGGGAGGAGCCAGTTTCCTTCTTGCCAGGAACAGTATCAAAATAGGGTTGGTCAAATCCTGATGAACACATATTCTTATCCATGCAGCTCCTGTGACTATTGACATGGACGTGGGATAAGAGAGATTAACTGGATATCTGTGAATTTAAACTTTTTGTCATCACTGCCTATATTTTATCCTATAACTTGATATCATTTGTTTACTATTAGTGCAGGGCTCTAGGAAGGAAAAAGCAGTACCTGAATTTACCTTAGCTCCTAAAGTAATCTCTCTTTAAAAATCCTCTCTGATTCTGTATTCCTTATTTGCTACCTACTTCCTGAAACCTCCCCCCATGTATCCCCAGACAGCGCTTATGTCACTTATTGTCTCTATGCACCCGTTCCTTTTGTGCTTCATACATTGGGAAGCTTACCATGAACAGGAATGAAAGTTACATCTATATCTATCTTCATTATATATTTGTGTGTATACCACCAGCAATACTAAAATAAGCCGGAAATAAGACCCTTTTCAGCATCAAGCAAAAAAAGATTGAAGTCTCGACATATACAGAGAGGGTCCAGAGGGGGATCAAATGCTATGAGTCCTATTATGCTATTATATTATCATCCACCATAATCAAGTTACAGTAAAACAACGTCTGGGAGAGACAGGGAAATAAGTGGGCGTGCCAGCATCTAATTTCTTCATAGTGCTGGGCTCCTTTCTCCGCTGGGGAAAGGATCGATGACGGCATAGTGGGCTGTGTGTAGGGGGGCTTCTCGCCAGGTCAGCAGTCCACCCCCACTCACCACCCCCCCCCTCGCCCAGCTGCTCTGTAGGAGGAAGATGAGACCCTTTGCTCCGTGAAGATTTGCAGACTTGGAAACATTCATGGCAGTTCGACCCTGGCCTCTACAGTCACTAGGAGACAGAATTGAGTCATGCTGTGAGTTTCGTTGTTGTTGTTTTTATCTACTCTGATGGTACGTATTATAAGGAACCCTGGGCGTGTAGTGGTGACCCGCAGGGATGGCAGCTGCAAACGCATGCATGCCCTGCTTGGAGGGACATGGGCGTTCCATTCCTGTAAGGAGTCGCAGGAGCAGACACTTACAGGGGCAGTTCTGTGTCTTACAGGGTTGCTATGTGCTGGCATCGAGTTTGGTTTTTCGGAATTGTGTGTCTTTATTTATTTATTTATTTCTTATTTGTATTCTTTAGTATGTTCCCCGAGAGCCCAGGTGACATTGTCAGGTTCACTTGGGAACGCTAATTGTAAAGTCAGCAGTTTAATTCAATCAGTTGCTAATGAAGAACGATGAGACTATCTCCTCTATAAAGTTGGTTTAGCCTCTAAATCCCCTATCGGGTTGCTGTGAGTCAGCATGGACGGTTGACAGTGGGTAGGTGTCCGATGTAGACTTCGTTCTGTTTCTCTTTAGGATTTCCAAAGTTCATTTACTGAACCGTCCATTAACTCTCCAGGAGGAAAGAGTTTGCTCGTGGGTTCGAAGATTTAAATCACTCCTGGAGTTCCATTCTGAAAAAAAGATTCCTAGGTTTGAAGACGTTTGTGAAGTGCCTTGTGCACTGAAGAGCGAACGCAAGGAAAGGCGAGGGCCGGCAGAGCCATTCTCCAGGGTCTCTCTAAAAAGCCGAGAAGCCACAATTGGGGTCAGAAACCTTAATCTTTGCTATCATGGTTTTTATTGCTCTGGATTGTTTTGATACACTCCAGAGGGAACTGTCATCTTATCTTGCTTATTCCACAGGTTGGCAAACAGGCTTGTCGAGAGTGTGCTGAAAGAAGAGAAAGAGGAGAAACGGAATCTTCATTTTATTCAGTCAGAATTATGCCTGATATCTGAAAATATAATAGTCCGGTCATTCAACTGAGGTGATATGGGTAAATGATATACACAGAGTTAATTTTGATATATAATGCTTATTTGGGGCCTCGGTGTTTTATTTTAAGAATTCATTTATATAAAATAATATTTTATGGTACTTCATTCATTGCTAAATGTAATATTGATTTATTTATACAAAATCATGCTGGGGACTTAATAAGTTATCTAGAAGTCTGAACTCAAAGTCAAACCTATACATAAATCCTTACTTTCCAAGGATGAAGGGAAATGCATTCTAATGCTAAAGATTCTTCCCATTTGTAAATAAACCCAAGCCAAATGTCAAGTCATGGGTGAAGCTCACAGAGGCCAGATTATTTATGTTTAAATATTCTTACTATTTAAATGGTAGATTATTATAATTTTAG